GGCGCTCGCTCCCTTCGGGGCGCATCCTCCTCCTGACCAGGTCCTCCCAGAGGCAGGGGCACGGAGAGCGCCCCGCAGTGCCCCAGCCCCACAACCTCTGCAGCGCGCAGGGCGCGGCTTGGTGGGCGCATCCGACGCTCCAGGGGGAGGGCGATAGAGGCAACGCGAGACGCCAACTCACTTTGTTCAGCATCTGAGAGACAAATGCAAAAGATAAGCAAAAACCAGTCTGCAATACGACGACCTCGGCCCTGCGCTCCCCAGGAAACGGTGCACCTGGCGCTCACCTCGGGGTTGATCTCCATGGGTTTGAGCTGCATCTTCGCGAACCGTAGGAGAAGCCACAGCCCGGGAAAGAAAAACAGCAAGCGGAGCCGCCCAGGCTGCAGCTATAAAGCGCCGGCCTGATGCACTGTGGATTCCTGCGCAGGGGGAGCAGGGGCAAAACAAAGCGAGGGGGAAACCGGCCAATTGCAGGCCAATGGGCACGAACACCCCCATGCGCAGCGCAGAGTGGTACAGCCGGGCCCCCAAACCTCGCAGTCTCAGTCGCCGGTGAGATAATCTGATGGTTGTGGATATGGGTTTTGTTGATGGGTGTTCCTTAGGTGAATGGAGCAGTCCCTTTGATGGAATCTTTATTCTTAGCGAAATTTCTGGAAATCCATGCTCTCTACCATCTCAATCACTCAAAAGCTCGGGGTCTCTGAAGCATTAAGAAAGCACAAATTCAACAGGTATATTTTTAATATAAACGTCTTCCAAATCTCGCAGCAGTTTGCACTTAACCATAAACGTTCCGTCCTCCATGTTACACCAATCCAGTATCGAGGTTCGTTTGTGATTGATCGTCTAGAATAAAGCACAACCTGGTGCATAACGATATTGCATTAATAATGCTGATGTAATGTGATTCCCAGGGAAGAATTGGTCGGTCTAGGGAAAATGACAGACCCTGGGGATGTGGCTGTGATACATGACGGAGAAAGCAGGCAGTCGGAGACTTGAGGAAGCAGATCCAGGGGATGAGCATGCTTTTGAGAGGAGAGGCTGTGGTTCAAAGAGCAGAAGGCTTTGAATAACATTCTGTGATCACACTGCTCCCAGGGAAAAAAGGCAACGGCAACTAAAAAAGGCCCTGTTAAGCGCTCTGATGATTCCAGCATATTCAAAAGATGGAGAGAAAAAGCATATGCTGAGAATGAATAAAGAGGGACCAAATTTGTACGAATTGTGCCAAGCAAGCTAAACCGCAGAATGAAACGGGGCTTGCAAAAATACTGAAGAAGCAAAATGATTGGATATTTTACCGATATGCTCAGAACAAAATAACGATGATGAACACTTACGCTGTTTTGGAGGTCTAGGGTTAAATTAGGGAATCTGCATTTTTTAAAGTTTTACTGCCTCCTCTTCAGTGAATCTTACATGTGTCATCTCATTGAATGCACACAGGATCCAAAGAAGACGCTCTATTAGTGCAGTTTTACAGATCAGAATCTGAGGCTTAGAGGAAGTCACAATTGAAAAACCAAGCTGGAAAGTAAACCCTGGCAAATTGGGCTTTCAGAGCCAGTTCTCCGCCCAAGATTCCAAAGCATTCCATGTCTGGACTCCCACCCCCAAAAGAATTACCTTCATACACAAAATGAGAGGGAAGAAAGCATTAGCAAGGAGAATTTAATGGGTGAATTTTATGGTGTAAGAATTCTATCTCAGTAAAGCTTCAAAGAAGATCCAAGACAGGTGAGTGGATAGTATATGAGCACCTGATTGCCTTGAATAGGTCCTTTCCTGTCCACAGAGATGAAATATACTCCCAGTTTACTTCATTTATTCATTCATTCAACAAATATTGATTAAACATCTGTTCTGCTGGGCACTGTGTTTGGAATTGGGGGTGGAAAGGCAAACGCAATAAACATGGGAAAGTTCCTCATGGAGCTTTTATTAGTAATAAGAATCATGTGAGCCTGGGCAGAGATTAGGAGTGCCTAACTTAGTGGAGGGATCAGGAAGGCTTCCTAAAGGATCTAAAGGGTGAGAGATTTAAGCTCCAGTTATTGCCACAAAAACTAGTAAGAGCAGTCATGAAGTCACTACCAAAAATCTTTATTAGAGATACATGTATATCATATATATATATTCACAATATATTCATTCAGTATACACAAATAGACACATTCACTGTGTGTAAATATTCATGTATATGTGTAAATATATACCTGTAAATGTGTATTTAGCCTGTTATGTACCAGGTAGCATCAGAACAAGGAATAGAAGAACTCCCTGTTTATAAAATGCCAAGACACAAATACATCTTATCCTTCTCTTTAAAAAAAAGTGGTGAGTGGAAATGTGATGTTGAAACTGTAGACCAGGAGATTTTCTATCAGTTATCAGCCAAATTCTAGAAATAACAATTTGTGGCTCTTAGAAAATTAGAATAGATGCATTCGGAACAGTTATGCCAGCTGGCACGTGTCTTCCTTTCTTTTGGGGTTACTAGCTGGGTGGACAGGCAGAACCCTGTTCTTGGATTCCTCTTGTTGCCAGGGTTGGTGTGGGTGGCCATTACAATTGGAGTGGTTTTCTAGTGTTCTAGCTTATTTAATTAATCATCCCTTTTAAAAAGTTAAATTTTAAGGGCTGGAGATTTAGCTCAGTGGCACATCTCTTGCCTTGCAAGTGCAAGGTCCTGAGTTTGATCCCTAGTAAAGAAAAAAAAAAAAGTCCTAAGTTTCACTGGATGGAGTTACCACAACCCTTAGCTACCCAACAAAGATTTTAACCCTGTCCCGGGCCATTTTATTAGATCACAGAGGCAAAGTGTGTGCAGGTCACTGAGAATAAATTACCTAAACACCAGAACTATGAAATTTAGAAAAATAAGTTTAAGTAATTAAATTTAATAGAGAGGTTTGGAGGTGGTCACACAACTCTGAATATACTCAAATACTTTAAGTGGGTTAATGTATCTCAATAAAGCTGTTAAAATGTAATACAGATGTGTAAAATTCTGATGTCAATTACAGTTAACCTTTAACTCTTTGCTTGTATAGTTACAAAAGTATGTAATATGAAAAATATCAAGTGAAAACAAATCACAACATAGCGTTAGAACTGTTTAAAATTAAACACAGTACATAAAGATCAAAAGGAAAACAACTTTTGAAAAATCAATTAAACATGTATTAATGGGGCATAATACTTGGCTTTGTGAACAGCATATAAAAAAAGGATTCAAATGTTTTAGAAATGTCACAATTTGAATATAAAGCTAATATAGTCTTCACCTCTACCAAGAGTGAAACTTTAATTTAATTTTCATCATAGTTCCTAGAGTGGTGCCTTGAGAAAGCATCTAAGTCCCTGGGGACAGAGGGAAGGACAAAAATCTGTGATTGATTAATTATGTGTTCCATGAGCATAGAAAAGTAAAATAAAAAGGGTACCTAGAAAGTCAGAAGCTAGGTGTCGTGGTTTACCTGTGCATTCCCAGCTACTTGGGACGCTGAGGCTGAAGGGTCACAGGTCTGAGGCCAGCCTGGGCAATTTAGACCCTGTCTCAAAGTAATAGAGGTAGGGATTTAGCTTGGTGCTAAGCTTTGGGTACATCTCTAATACTGAAAAATTAAAAGAAATTTTTTGAAAAGAAATAAAAGAGAAAAGGAAAATAAAAATGAAGGTCAGAAAAGTTATGATATAAATTGTGAGAACTAAAATGTTACTGCGGACAGTCGGCATTCTGTAAATTTACATACCAAAAACTCATGCCTATCTCAATTTGGTGCTTTGTGGAGTGATCACCATGGTCTAGTTCTAGAATATTTCTGTTATCCCTTAAAGTTACCTCTTGCTCTTTTGTAGTTTATCTCCTCTCCCAACTCAGCTGACTACTGATGTTTCCTAATTATAGGTTTGCCTGTTCTGAACCATTTACAACATGGAATAATGCAATAAGTAGTCTTTCATGTCTAGCTTTTAGAAAATATTTCTGAAGTTCATTTGTGTTTTAGCATTATCAGTATTCAGTTCTTTTTTATGCTAGGTAATGTTCCATTGCATAGGTATATCACGTGTTGTCATCCATTCATTGGCTGGTGAATATATGCATTGCTTCTAGTATTTGGCCCCTCTGTATATTACTGTTATGAATGTTTCTGTATAAATCTTTATGTGGACAGAGTTCTTATTTGTCTTCAATCTCTAGAAGAAAAAATGTTGGGTTGAATGGTGACTCTCTGTTTAACCTTCTAAGACACTATCAGGTCATTTTCCCAAGTGGCTGTACTATTTTACATTCCCATTAGAAATGTACAAGAATCAGAGTTTCCCTACATGTTTGCTGATCCTGCTGCTGTCAGCCTGAACAATGTGTATGTAAGGGTATCTCACTGTAATTTCATTTGTACTTTCTTGCTTATTTATTATGTTGGGCATCTTTTTATTTGATACTCAAATATTCTTTGGTGAAATGTCTATTCAAATCTTAGGCCTACTTTTAGTGAATTTTAAAATTTATTATTGCATTATAAAGTTTCTATATAACCCAAATTTCAACACTTATCAGATATGATTTTCAAATATTGTCTTCTAGTCTCTTTGACTTTATTTTCTTTTTTCTTTGTTTATTTTGTTTGTTTTGTTTTTGGAGACAGGATCTTGCTTGCAGTTCAGGCTGGCCCTGAGTTTGTAATGTAGCCCAGGCTGGTCTGGCCTCAAACTTGCAGCAACCCTGATCCTCCAGCCTGTGCCTCCACACCTGGAGGACTTTATTTTCTATCAAGTGTTTTTTGAAGAACCAAGGGTTTATTTTTTATGAAGTCTACTTCCCTAACTGTACCTTACTGCCATTGTCCAGCCTTTGTATGTCCTCTTCCTCTCCCCAGCCCTTAGAAGCCACTATTCCGCTCTCAACGTCTATGAGATCAACTATTTTTAGTGTTCACATATGAGTGAGGTCAAATGGTGCCTCTTTGCGCCTGGCTTATTTCACTTAACATAATATTTTCCAGTTCACTATGTATTTCAGAAATGACAGATTAGCATCCTTTTTATGGCTGAACAGTGTTTATATGACATATTTTCCTCATCCCATCATCAGGTGATAGAAACTTAGGTTGTTTCCATTCCTTAACTATTAAAAATACATAAAAATAAGCATAGCAGTACAGATGTCTCTTGACATACTGATTTCATTTCCTTTGAATATATACTAGTGATGATGTTGCTGCATCCTACAGTAATTCTATTTTTAATTTTTTTAAGGAATCAATATATTGTTTTCCACAACAACTGTGCTAATTTATACTCTCACCAACAGTGTAAGGGTTCCTTTTCCTCCACATCCTGGCCAGTGCTTGTTATCTTTGTT